GAAACGCCCGGCCCGCCCTACCGTCACGTCTGGTGGTGCGACAGGGAGGAGTTATCGATAAGGACAAGGGATGGAGGGAGGAGGAAGAGGAGGAGGACGAGGAAGAGGAGGAGGAAGAGGAGGAGGAGGAGGAGGAGGATGTATGTTCGGCGGCTGCCGACAGCCGCGACGGGGCTTCGGGAATGCAGCCCCCGCTGGCTTGATGGGATAGGGTGCCCCCTTGGGGCATCTTCTTACTGTGCATGCCTGGGGGCACTGCGAAGCCCCTTACCCCACCCCGCCTGGTTCCCTCCCCCTGGCCTCCAAGGGCCTCCAAGACAAACGCTGGCTGGTCGTAGAACAGGACGCCTTGGGGCAGAGCTTCTGCGGCCCTGGATTTGGTGGGACACGAACTGGGATTGTCGAACAGGGGGCTGGCGAGCGGGGGCCAGCGAACGGGGGGCCCGGCGATCGGAGACCAGGCGAACGGCCCCGACGAGAACAGGAGAAGCGTTCAGCGACCCCCCGCACAGAAAATGACAACCCTGCGGGGGGTCGCTGAGCATTTTGGCCCATTTTCGCTCGAGTCGCATGGGCGGCGTCGGGGCTGGCACTATCCTGCGCCCAGTCGATTAACGAGTGGGACAGCCGCGCAGCCCCTCGCGCTTGACGTGATGCTGCTGCACCGCGTGGGCATGCACAACGCCAACAGAGTGCGGAAGGGAAGCGCTTTGAGAAATAACGCAGCGATCGTCGCGCCCACCGCCCGCCCGTCTTGACCCGCCCGTGTTCTCGGTGGGCAGCTCGATTACACATCGTACAGTCGGGGCGCTGAAGAAGGAACCCTTTTCATCGGGGAGGGACTCGGTGTTCCTTGATTTTCTACGGGACATCGAAGTTCAACTTATGGGAGACAGGGGCCTCGTTCCTTATGTAGGGTTCCTTGGGTCAACGCCCCGACTGTATTCTCATTCCCCGCCCATCCCGACCCGCCCGTTATGCTCCGCCTGCCCGCCCCGAACCGCCCTCGAGGGCTCTCGCGTGAAAGCTCGATCTCGCAACACGGTTCACTGTTCCGCCCGCCCGACCCGAGCCGACCGTTAGGGTCCGCATGCCCGAGTCGACCCCAGCCGATCGGGCTCTCGCGCCTTCGCTCCATTACGCGTCCTGCTTTCACGTTCCGTGAAGCTCGGCCCTGGCCCCCGTGAGAGTCCGCCCGCCCGCCCCGACCCGCCCGTCAGGGCTTTTGCGAACCAGCCCGATCACGCATCATATCTCAACGCCCCGCCCGACCCGACCCGACCCGCACATTAGCGCCCGGCAGTTCCGACCGGCCCACCCGTTGGTGGCTTCGCGTGCCAGCCCTGGCACACATCCCACTTCAGTGCCCCGCCCGCCCGAGCCGACCTGTCCGCTGACGTCCGCTCGCCCGGCCCGGCCCGCCTGGTAGGGTTCTCTGTTGCCAGCTCGATCGCGCATCATAGTTGATTGCCCCGCCCGCCCGATTTGACACGCTCCAGGGAGCCTGCCCGCCCGACCCGACCCTCATGCCAGGGCTTTCGCGCATAAGTACTTTAACATCCCGCCCGCAATGCCCCGCCTGCCGCCAGGGCCTGCCCGCCCGAACAAATCCCGCCCGTTGGCGCTCTCGCGTGCCAGTTCAAGTACGTAACGTTTCGCCCGCCCGACCCGACCCGCCTGTGAGGGGCCGCCCCCCCGCCCCGACCCTTATGTTAGGGCTCTCGCGTGCCAGATCGATTACGCATCGTACTTTAACGCCCCGCCGCCCGACCCCACCCGACCCTTACGGTAACCCGCCCGCCCGACCACACCCGCCCGCCAGGGCTCTTGCATGCCAGCTCGATTACGCGTCATACTTGAATGAATTGTTACTCTTCTCTCCCTGTTCGCTCCTTGCCACCGCCGCCGCCGCAGCTATTTGAGCACCAGGGACGAGGACCGCCGAGTGTAGGCGCCGCGGGCCCATCGGCGCGAGAGTGGAATGGTGGTGGATTGTCGTCGGCTTCGTCGTCGTCGTCGCCCCTCCTCCTCTCTTCCCTTGTTCCTTCTACACACTAACCCACAGCTTAACGGACCTTAGAAAGCATCTCTGAGATACCTATCATGAGCGATGAGACCGATACGTCATCTTCATCATCATACCTTGCCAGAAACCGCATTCCTCTTGTGAATGATTGTTCTGTTGTTGTATATGACGCGCAAAGGACCACAGCCAATGATCGAACATGACTTGTACCTCTGGAGACCCCGCGCGATCACCCGAATACTTCGCCGGAGAACGACTTGGGTCACATTCCCCGAGTGGCCCTATCATTTCTTTGATTGATGATCCTTATGTTCCGATTGAAGATAGTGCCCCAGCACTGGCCCAACCACTAAACGGGGAGGATAATGTGGATTGCGACCTCTCAGCTATCATGGAAGACGATGACTTGAATCCGGAGATTCCATACACCAGAGATAAGAAGACAGTGATCGTATCTCAAGCGGAACACGCGAGAGACAACACGGGGGAAATGCCAGAAGCAAAGCGTCCCAAAGTACCCGGTGACAAGCATGGAACACGATTCGTCAATGCAGGTTTCCAGCTTAGTTGGGAGCTTGCTTGACGATCCGTTCTGTCCAACTATATAAGAAATTCCTCGGTCGACTCCTGTTCCAATGTTGTCTCCACGTAACGCGATCAGTAGGCCAATTTCTTGATATACTCTAGCATCGGGATCGCATACTAGGTGAAGGAGTAGCGAAGGGCCCCATGGGTCTGCTTCGGGATGGCCCGAGGATGTCGGTGCGACCCTGCAGCCGAAAACAAATGCCCCGCGAAGGCAAGCAGCGTAGGCGGTCCGTGCTTGCGACCTGCGCGTGGGGCTGATCACGCGGATGCCAGCATTGTAATCTTACTTGGCTTCGCTCAGGATGCATTGGCATGAAAGAACATAATTGTCGCTACCTTGCGTTTCTTGAATGGCAACAGAAAGACGCAGAGAAAATACTGGCCAAAAAGAAAGAGCTCCGTGAAGAACTGACCGCGCGCGTTAACATGATCCAAAGACACAAGGACGAACGGTTCTGGAACATACGAAATGGAACAAATATGTTTTTTCCTCCAGGCCGCGCGACAAGCTTAGGCCGGCACTGTGTGTCGGAGGCAGCACCGATGTCTATGATTGAAGCCGAAAGGCAAAGGAAGGAGTTGGAAGAGTCTGCAGAGCGTAAGGCGACGGAAAGAAGCATCAAAGCTGCGAGGGAAATCGCCGAAAGGAAGTACACCTGCGCCAAACCTTGTAAAAGGGCGGGAATGGAGGCGAGGAGTGTTCGCCAATCGGCGGAAGATGCGATGCACGAAAGGGCGGCTCAGGCATCTGTTCTTGCCTATCGCACAAGCGAGGAGGCGCTAGCTATCGTGCAGCGGGCGAATCTTCGGGAGCGCGACGCCGATGACCATGCAAGAAAGATGACAACGGCAGTGGACAAGCTTGCCGGACATCGTGCAAGACAGAAGGAATCACATAACGGTTTGATCCTCCTGCGTGAAACGCAGGGCCCGATTGATCAACTTAGAATGTGGTTGTCGTCTGCGCCGTTGATTCAACCCGAGGTGCTAGACGACGCGGTTACGGTTCTGCCAATTGCAGCGGTCAGAACAGGCATCCACGTCCCCGCGGATGATCGATCGAGTAGACTGACGTTAGAGCTCAACCTATGACGCTGGAAAGCACGACCAATCAGACTTCGGAGAAAGTGCCGCGACTACGAGTTGCTGCTGCTTCGGGGGGTGCGCGGATGTGTCATTTCTGCCGGAATGTAAAGAAGATCCAGCGCAATCAATGTGTCAAGCCATGTTGCGAGAGCCATATTGACTCCACGATAAATGATGCAAGCAACGAGCCTGGGGAAAATCGGGATCCGAGGCGGAAATTGTTGAGGGAAGTCAAGAGAAGAAGCGCAGGCGATTTCGACGCTGGGGAGAGGAGGCACGCTTGGCCATTCCTGTTCGACAGCAAAAAGAGATAATTGCAAGCAAGCGCAAAGAGCGAGAACACTTCGAGAGAGCAAGCAAACATAATAGAAATATGTTTCGGAGAGAAGTCCCATGCAACAAGACATGGATTGGCGTTCTCCTGGAAATTTGGGCCGACGCTACCACGGAACGCCGTGATTTCCAGAATGTTTCGAACCTCCCGACGACTTTCCGTCCGAGGAACCCGACGCACCAGATAAGAAACCCGATCCAGCGCCGAACGTTCCCGACTCAGTCGGGAGTGGAGGCGGCGGAGGAGGCGGGGCACCCGGCGGCGATGGAGACGGGGGAGGGTTGGTCGAGACGATGCCGACCCATTACTTATTCACGGAAGCAGGTTGGCAAAACGACGGAAATCAAGTTGGGGCTTCGGAAATGAAAACTCCACACGACGCGGGTGATACCGTCGGCGCCCCCAGACGCAAAGGGGGCAACGTGGCCGTGGCCTCCCCCCATCAGCCCCTAACGAATTCGAGAGGGTGGTCGGAATGGGGGGCATGAGCCACCATGCAGGTGGCATGGAAGGACGGCGCGGAGACTCGGACCACCAACAGGCGAAGGGATTTGTGGAGGACTAGGAGATGAGAGCGACGGAATAATAACCCCTTGAGACCTAACCTCACACCGTAGGTTGCCCTTGTCGCTACCCCCTGCCAACACGAGGAAACCTCCAGCCGCACGTGTGCCCTCGGTCGTGCTCCTCCTCCTCCTCCTCCTCCTGCTCCTCTTCCCCCTCCTCCTCCCCCTCCTTTTCTTCCTCCTCCTCTTCCTACGTAAGTCGCCCTCCTCCCTCCTCCCTACATGTCGCAACTGCATTGTCGATTTGTTGTACAGGCCACGGTTCATAACACGAGTTTGTGCGGTGTTCCAGGTTTTCCTTGGGGGCCTTCGACTCGCGATGTGTGGTTGCGTCACCCGTGGTGTGTCGCGTGGGAAAATCGACGTGCGTACGTCAGTAGTCCTCCGTCCCCCTCTGGAGGCGGCGCAGGAGGAGATCAGCGAGCTGAGGGACCAGATCCAGCGCATGCAGGCCCGCCGGGGCGCCAGAGGGTTCTGCGCTCTTCCTATCGGGGTCGCCTCGGAGTCGCGCGGGCCCAGCAGCTGCGGGCCCGGATGCGGCGGGGTCGCCCCGCATCGACGCGGCGTCGACGCTTCGAGGCTCAGCTTTTGGCTGTAGATGTCCTATGTTTGCTGACCAGCGTGGGTCCCAAGCAGCGGTTTCTTGCAGTCTATGCGGCGCAATCTTGGTGGTGCTAGCAATCTACGCGGCGCAAAACAGTGCACAACAAGGCAAAGCAATGCAAAACAATTCAGCGCAATGCAATGCAACGCAAAGCGATGCAAAACAATGCGATGCAATGTCACGCCGTGCAGAGCGATGCAAAACGATGCGAAACAATGCAAAGCAATGCCACGCGGCGCAACACAAAACGAAGCCAAGTAAAACAATGCAAAGCATTGCAACGCATTGCCAAGCTATGCAATTTACTAACCTCTATAAGTCTTTAGTTTTGAGCCCACCCTTTTTCACTCGGTGGTAAATAAGACTGGTCCTGAAACCTCTTCCTCCTGCTCCCCCCGCTCCCCCATCCTCCTTCTCCTCTTCCTCCTCCTCCTTAGGAATTGCACGAAGAAGCATGCGTACTGGTACCATTACGATCACTGTGATTGTTACTGTTACTGTTACTCTTGTTACTCCTATCACTACTTCTTCTTCTACTACTATTACTACTACCACTACTACTTCTACTACTACTACTACTACTACTACTACGACGACTACCACTACCACTACCACTACCACTACCACTATTACTACTACTACTACTACTGCTACTACTACTACTACTACTACTGCTACTACTACTACTACTACTGCTACTACTACTACTACTACTACTACTACGACGACTACTTCTACTACTACTACTACTACTACTACTACTACTACTACTACTACTACCATTATTACTACTACTACTACTGCTACTTACTACTACTACTACTACTACTACTACTACTATTACGAATACTACCAGTACGAATACTACAACGAGTGCTACGACTACGACTACTACGCCTACTATTACGACGACGACGCTACTACTACTACGACTGCTACTGCTACTACCACTATTGTTTTCCATACTACAGCTACTACTACTCCTACTACGAGTGCTACTCTACTACTACTACTACTACTACTACTACTATTACTACTACTACTACTACTACTACTACTACTACGGCTATTACAATTACGAATACTACGACGACTTCTACTACTACGCTTATTGTTTCTGGTACTACTACTACTACTACTACTTCTTCTACCACTACAACTACTCGTACTACTACTACTACAACTAGTGATACGAGTAGTACTGTTAGCAGTACTAGTACTCCTAAGGAGGAGGAGAGGGAAGAGGAGGAGGAGGAGGAGAAGGACGAGGAGGAGGAGGAGGGAAGGAGGCGGAGGAAAGGGGAGTGAAGACCACTACTACAACTACTAGTTTTCGTTCTACTACTACTGCGACTACTACTGCTACTACGACGACTACTACTTCTACTATTATTTCTACTATTACTTCTACTGCCAAGAGTACTACAACAACGACTACTGCAACAACAACCACAACAACAACACCTCCTACCACTACTACTACTACTACTACTACTACTACTACTACTACTACTATTGCTATTGCGACTACTTCTTCGACAACTACTACTACGACGAGAACTATTACTACTACCACTACTACTACTACTACTACTACCACTACTACTACTACTACTACATACATACATACATACATACATACATACATACATACATAAATACATACATACATACATACATACTACTACTACTACTGCTACTACTACTACTACTAATATTACTAATACGGCTATTACTACTGCTACTACTTCTACTACTACTGCTGCTATTGCTACTACTACGACTACTACGACGACGACTTCGAGTACGACTGCGACTGCGTCTACGGTTAAGGCTACTACTACTACTATTACTAGTACTAATAGTATTATTACCACTACTATTACGACACTGCTACTACTACTATTATTATTACTACTACTGCTGCGATTCGTACTCTTACTCGCACTACTACTACTACTTCTACTACTACTACGACGACTACTGCTAGTACTACTCTGACCACTGCTCTTAGTACTTCTACTACTACTACTATTACTACTACTACTACTACTACTACTACTACGACTATCATTACCAGTACGACTACCAGTATTTTTTTGTTATTGCTGCTTTTACGACTGCGATGATTTCTATTACGTTTTTTTTTTTTTTTTTTTTTTGATACACCTACTACAACACCAACTACCACTGCTACTAGCACTACTACTTCCACTACGACTACTGCTGCTTCGACTACTGCGACTGCTGCTGCTACTGCTTCGATTATTACCATTACTATCGCTACTACAGCGACCACGGCCACCACTGCTGCGACTACGATTACTATTTCCGACTTCTGCTACACCTACGCTTGCGATGGTGATTATGACTACGATGATTTTTTCTCCTACGATTGCAACTATTACTGCTACTACTACGACTACTACGACTACTACTACTACTACTACTACTACTACTACTACTACTACTACTACTACGACTAATACTATTACGATTACTGTCTCGAGTAGCATTACTAGTCTTACTTATACTACACCTACTACTACCGCTACCATTGCTACCCGTACTACTAGCATTACTACTTCTCGTATTACTACGATGACTACGTCTACGACTACGACTGCGACTGCGACGGCTACGACGACGGCTAAAAGTTTGCGGCCACTACGGTTTTGTACATTTATTCATACGGCTACCTTTATTAATACAGCTACTGCTATTATTACTGTTAGTATTGCTACGGCTACTACTACTTTCCCTTCTCCTACTACTACTGCGACTACGACTACCACTTCTACTGCTACGATTACGACTACGACTACGACGGCTACTACCTCCATTGCTACTACTACCACGTACTACTGCTAGCACGACGGCTACGACTACTCTTATTACTAGCAGCACAACAACAATTATTGCGACTACTGTTGCGACTACTGCTACTACTTCTACGGCTACGACTACGAGTAATTCGGCCATGTTGTTTGTTATCCCCATTGCCACCACAACTGTGACTACTACTGCTACTACGGTCTTGACAGGGACAACGACGAATAGTATTAGTATTATGATCGTTGCTACTACGAGTGTTACTCTTATTACGGCTAGTAGTATTAATCGTACGACCAGCAGTAGTACCCTTAGTAATCCTAATATTACGGTTATGAAGCTTTCACGATTACTATTACCACTTCAAAGAATATTACCACCACGACTACTGTTGTTTGTATTGATTTTATTACACCTGCTACTACTACTACTACCACGGGCATAATTACTATTCCTACCACTACTACCACTACTACTACTACTACTACTACTACTACTACTACTACTACTACTACTACTACTACTTCTGCTACTACGACTACTACTACTACTACGACGACTACTACTAGTTTAGTACTACCACTACAAGTAACGCTACAACTATTACTACTACCACGACTGCTACTACGACTACTACTACTACCACTGCTGCTAGCATTACTACGACTACTAGTAGCCTTACCACTATCTATTATTTTTATTATTAGTACGACCGCTACTACAAGAGCGACTACTACAAGAGCGACTACTCTTTCTACTACTACTAATCGTAGTGGTATTATCACTACTATCACTATCTTGTACTACTACGACGACTACTACTACTACTGCTACTACTACTGCTGCGGCTACTACGACTACGGTTACTATTTCCGGCTTCTGCTACACCTACGGTTGCGATTGTGATTATGACTACGATTATGATTTCTGTTGCTACTGCTAGTCCTATTGTTATTACTACTACGACTAATACTATTACGATTATTGTCCCGAGTACCCTTCCTAGTCTTACTTTTACTACCACTACTACTACCGCTGCGATTGCTACTAGTACTACTAGTATTACTACGATGACTACGTCTACGACTGCGACTACGACTACGACTACTACGACGACGGCTCAAATTTTACGACCACTACGGTTTCTACATTTATTCACACGACTACCTTTATTAATACAACTACTACTACTATTACTGTTAGTACTGCTACGACTACTACTACTACCGCTGCTCCTACTACTACTGCTGCTACGACTACTGCTGCTACTGCTACGATTACGACTACGACTACGACGGGTACTACCTCCATTGTTACTACTACCACGTACTACTGCTAGTACGACGACTACGACTACTCCTTTTAGTATCAGTACAACAACTACTACTACTACTACTACTATAATTACGACTACTGCTACTACTTCTACGGCTACGACTACGAGTAATTATGTTATTTTGTTTGTTACCCCCATTACCATCACAATTGTGACTACTACTACTACTACTACTACTACTACGACTACTACTACTACTACTACTACTACTACGACTACTATTGCTACTGCTACTACTACTACTACTGCTACTACTACTATCACTACGAGGACTACTATTTTGACAACGGCAACGACGATCCGTATTAGTATTATGATTGTTGCTACTACGAGTGTTACTCTTATTACGGCTAGTAGTACTAATTGTACGACCGGTAGTAGTACTTCTAGCACTCCGAATCTTATTATTATTGCACCCATTACTACTGTTATTACTACTTCAAATAACACTACCATCACGACTAGCATTTTTATTGATTTCTTACGCCTACTATTACTGCCACGAGTATAATTACTACTACTACCACTACGACTATTACTATTACTACCACTACTACGACTACTACTACTACTACCACTACTACTACTACTAATCATACGACTACTACTAACGTTACAACTATTGCTACTACTACTACTACTACCACTACTACTACTACTACTACTACGACTACTACTA